GGGGGGGGGGGGGGGGGGGGGGGGGGGGGGGGGGGGGGGCTGCCTCCTGACTGCCCCAGGGAAGCCCAGCTGGGGGACAGCGTCCTTCCCTCGGGGCGCCAGGGCCGCAGAACCCCTTCGAGGTGCTGCTTCGACCGGGCCCAGCAGCTGCGCCCTCTGCTCCTTCCCACCACTGCCCTCCCCCATGGCTACCCACCCACTTCATTCAAAAGTCTTCCCAGTCTCTTCTCCTAGTGGGGCAGTGGGACTTGGGGATAATTGGGCCCTGGCCTTCCGAGCCCCAGCTCCCTCTGCACCCTGGTCCCCAAGCTGCAGGAGCCACTGTCCCCCCACCTCCTCTCCCTTGCACCCCTCTTTGCTGCTCCCTGGAGTACTCCTGCCTCTCCCAGGGCCCCCGGCCCAGGGGAGCCTGTCCAGTCTTACCCTGACACTCGCGCCAGACCAGGAGCTGCTTTCCCTGTGGGTGTGCCGCAGCAGCTCGCCAGCCTAGGTCTGCATGCCGAGGGGCTCCAGCCTGCGCCTCCCAGTCCAGAACCCAGCACGCTTCAGATTACAGCTACTCCCTTCTTAAAGCGACCTGCACTCAATTCGGATTCTGTGATTGCATCATTGCCTGATGTTAACTTTAACCCCCTGCTGCCCTTCCACCCCACACCGCCAACACACACCTCCACACAGCCGCCTTCCCCACCAGACCTTCCTTCAAGGGCCCTGGCCTTCCTCCTGCCCGCAGTCCCACCCCCAGGGGGCACCCTGGCCCACTTGGGTGGGAGACAGGGCCTAGGAACAGTCTTCTGGAGGAAGCCCGGAAGGCAGGCCGGACCAGAGCAAACCCCGCTCCTGTGCTGGGACTCTAGATTTTTCCTGGTCCTTGGTTCTGGCACTAACTGGGATTTGGGGAGGACAACTCTCCTGGCTTTCTTGACTCAAAAATGAAGAGATGGAACTGGGATGTCTATTTGCTTTTTCAGCCCTGGAATTCTGTGATTTCTGAAGATCAGAAAGCGCAGTGGAAAAAAATATCCGACTGGAGGAAGAATTGAGCTGTGCTATAACCATTGGTCCTGAGGGGAGGCGGACTGTGTGCCTGGCACTGCCTAGGTATCATAGAGGTCACCTAGACAGGACAACACCTAGACCCTGCTCACCTGGGATGCTTAGGACCTTACGATATGGTTGTGAATCTAAAATATCGACGTGGGAGGGGCACCTGGGTAGCTGAGTGAAGCGTCTGCCTTACACTCACATCATGATCTCGGGGTCCTGGGATTGAGCCCTGTATTGGGCTCCCTGCTGAGTAGGGGAGTCTGCTTCTCCCTCTACCTCTCTTCTCTCCCCGCTCATGTGCACGCTTTCTCTCTCTCAAATGAATAAATAAATCTTTTAGAAAAATAAAAAATGAGAAATAATTAGTGTAACAAAATGCCTTCTAGGCAGGTATGAGTGTTGACCGAAAGCCCAGTGGTCATTTAGAGGAGAGCTCAGAGAAGGGATGGAGAACGCTCTGGGATATCTAGCAGAAGGAAGAGAAAATTTAGGGAAACATCACCTCATGTGAGGCTCCCGGGAGCAGAGCTAGAGCCTCTGGGTAGAACTTTCCAGTGGGCAAGGTTCAGCTTTATGTAAGAAAAAATGTATCAACAGAGTTCAGTCCTTTCATCAAAAAATGGAATACCTCCATGCAAGGCACTAGCTAAGTGTGTGGAGGAGGAGGAAGATACAGATGAAAATAAGACTCGGGGCGCCCGGGTGGCTCAGTTGGTTAAGCGACTGCCTTCGGCTCAGGTCATGATCCTGGAGTCCCGGGATCGAGTCCCGCATTGGGCTCCCTGCTCAGCAGGGAGTCTGCTTCTCCCTCTGACCCTCTTCCCTCTCGTGCTCTCTATCTCTCATTCTCTCTCCCTCAAATAAATAAATAAAATCTTAAAAAAAAAAAAAAGAAGACGACTCAGTGGCACACTCCAGAAATTTACTGGCTAATAAAAGGGTAGTATGAGAACAGATCATTCCACTATAATGTGACACATTCTATGCTAGCAGTCTCTACAGCCAATACAATACCATAGCCACTAGCCATGTGGCCACAGAGCCCTTGAGATGTGGCTAGTCTGAGCTGCTGTAAGTGTAAAATACACACCAGACTCTGGATATTTAGTATGAAAAAAATAATGTAAAGTATCTCAATAATTTTAATGCCAATTATATATATTGGGTTAAATAAAATATATTATTGAACTTAATTTCACCCATTTCTTTTTAATGTGACTACTAGAAAATCTTAAATCACATATGTAGTTTGCATTGTATTTCTATTGGACAGCATTGTTCTCTAGGGTGTTGTGGCAATGTAGTCGGAATATATGAACCTAAGCTGAATCTTGAAGGGTGAATAAGAATGGGCTAAGGGGCGCCTGGGTGGCTCAGTTGGTTAAGCGACTGCCTTCAGCTCAGGTCATGATCCTGGAGTCCTGGGATCGAGTCCCACATCGGGCTCCCTGCTCAGCAGGGAGTCTGCTTCTCCCTCTGACCCTCTTCCCTCTCGTGCTCTCTATCTCTCATTCTCTCTCTCTCAAATTAAAAAAAAAAAAAAAAAGAATGGGCTAAGCACAGAAAGGCAGGAAGGGCATAACTATCTATGTGGACAAGTTAAAGTTGGGTCCCTATCTCACACGATACACAACAAGTAGCTCTAGCTACATTAGGGATTAAACGTGAACAGCAATTTCTGTTTTTGCAGAGCCTTTCTTTCTTTTTTTAAAAATATTTTATTTATTTATTTGTCAGAGAGAGAGAGAGAGCACAAGCAGGGGGAGCGGCAGGGAGAGGGAGAAGCAGACTACCCGCTGAGCAGGGAACCCAATGCAGGACTCGATCCCAGGACCCTGGGATCGTGACCCAAGCTGAAGGCAGACGCTTAACTGACTGAGCCACCCAGGCGCCCTGCAGAACATTTCTTAATGACTTTTTATTCAAATTATTTAAGAATAGCATTTTGTTCACATGGTTCAAAACTCAAAAGCAACAAGAGGTAAACAGTGAAAAGTCTTCCCCTCACTGTAATCTCCAGTTACCTGATTGCGCTCCCCGGAGACCTCTGATGTTAATATCTTTCCTATGTATCCTTTCAGAAATATTTTTAATGCTTTAAAAAGCAAATGCCAACACACATATACAACAGGAAAAACTGTAAATGTTTTAGAAAAAAATATAGATGGATCCCTTTGTGATCTCTAGGTAGAAAGGATTTTTTTTGGGGGGGGTGCCTGGGTGACTCAGTCAGTTGAGCTTCCAACTCTGGATCTCAGCTCAGATCTTGATCTCTGGGTCATACGTTCAAGCCCCACGTCAGCCCCACATCAGCCCCACCTCAACCCCCAGGTCAAACCCCACATTGGGCTCCGCAATGGGGATGGAGCCTACTTTAAAAAAAGATTTTTTTTTTTAGACAAGACACCAAAAGAAGCAGAGATTATAAAAGATTGATAAATTTTTAAAAAGAATTTATTTATTTATTTATTTGAGAGGGAGAAAGAGAGAGAGCAAGAGAGAGAGAGCACAAGAGCAGGGAGAGGGAGAAGCAGACTCCCCGCTGAGCAGGGAGCCCGATCCAGGGCTGCTAGATCCCGGAACTCCAAGATCATGACCTGAGCCAAAGGCAGATGCTCAACTGACTGAGCCACCCAAAGGATTGATAAATTTGACACTAAAGTTAAAAACTTATTTTCAGGAAGAGATACCATAAAACAAAGTGAGAACAAAGGCCTCACACTGGGAGAAAATATTTGTTACACAGGAAACTGACAAAAAAGATTATGAATGGTAATATAGAAAGAACTATAAATTAATACAAAAAATAAAAACTCAGCAGAACCACAGACCCAGGTAATTCACAGGAGAAGAATCCTAAGTGGCCAATAAACTTCTGAAAAAGATGTTTCATCCTCACCAGTAATCAGAGGAATGCAAATCAAAACCATAATTTGACAAGTGTATTTCACGCTCATCAGATGGCCAAATTTTAAACATCTGACAAGACCAAGTGTTGGTGAGGATGTGGACAACCAGGATCTCTTCTGCCCTGCTGGTGAGAATGTGGGAATGTAAATTGACACAACCACTTTGAGGAAGAATCTGGCCCCAAATGGCAAAGCTGTGCATAACCATATATGGCAGCCCTTACAATTAAAGATGGGTAAACCCGAACCCACAACTCAGCACTTCCACTCCTAAGCATGTGTGCTGGAAAAACTCCACATACGTGCACAAAGTATGCATGTACAAGAATGTTATCGCAAGGGCGCCTGGGTGGCTCAGTTGGTTAAGCGACTGCCTTCGGCTCAGGTCATGATCCTGGAGTCCCTGGATTGAGTCCCGCATCGGGCTCCCTGCTTGGCAGGGAGTCTGCTTCTCCCTCTGACCCTCCCCCCTCTTATGTGCTCTCTCTCTCTCTCTCATTCTCTCTCTTTCAAATAAATAAATCTTTAAAAAAATGTTATTGCAGCGCTGTTTGTAGTGGCCAAAAAAAAAAAAAGTGGAAGCTCTTTGCATGCCCATCAATAGCTGAGTGGATAGAGGTGGAGAAGTCTTACAGCCCTGAGAAATCGTGAAGGGAAGCCACTTTTATCAACACAGATCTGTCCGCTGAGCAATGACCTTATGCAATTCATTATACCTTTTTGTGTGCTCCAATTATTTCATGGTAACTTACAAAGATTCATCTCTCCTCCTCTGATTGCCATGAAAGGTGTCCCGCTGCTGCCAAAGGAGGGGGCCTCCACTGTGTTCTCCATGGGTTCTGCTCCTGCAGGTGGCCCCTCTCCTGCCTAATCCACGTATCCATCTCTGCGGGCCATCCCACAGCCTTCAAACATCCTCTGTCACTCCCCTGTTTGGTGACACTTCCTCTGTGCCACACCCCCTAAGCCTACTGTCCATTTCTCCTCTCTCCCTCATGGCCACGAGGGAAAGAGCTATTTATTCTTGTGTCTGTAGTTCTTAGCGCCATTCCCTCCTCAACCCCAATCTTGCTTCTATGCCCATCTCTCCACTGAAACAGCTGTCGCCAGGTTCATGGGTGACTCTCATGTTGACCACCGATAGGACACCTCTTCCCTGGACAGCAGGCCGGAGAGCAGACTGTTCCTCCTTCTTGAAACTCTGCCGCTCCACACACTTCCATTCCGGGCCCTTCCCCCCCCCCACCACACATGCCGCGTCTTTTCTGTCTCCTTTGCTCACTTGATCTGGGACCCCTTTTCCTCTCTATCTATATCTCCTCTCCTCTCAGGTTACCTCCACCAGGGGCGCCTGGGTGGCTCAGTCGGTTAAGTGGCTGCCTTCGGCTCAGGTCATGACCCCAGCGTCCTGGGATCGAGCCCCACATCATTGGGCTCCCTGCTCAGTGGGAAGCCTGCTTCTCCCTCTCCCACTCCCCCTGCTTGTGTTCCCTCTCTCGCTGTGTCTCTCTCTGTCAAATAAATAAAACAATCTTTTAAAAAAAGAAAAAAAAACCAAAACAGGAATCTGAACCCTATACCCCGCGATCCTTGAGCCTATCCTTTCCCTCATGTCCGTACAATTTATGC